GAGATAGAACACCGAGCAACGTTTGATCAGGGCATTGTGTATGAGATAGAACAGCGAGCAATGTTTGTTCGGGGCATTGTGTATGAGACAGAACAATGAGCGACCTTTGTTCGGCATTGTATATGAGATAAAACAGCGAGCAACGTTTGTTCGGGGCATTGTGTATGAGATAGAACAGCGAGCAACGTTTGTTTGGGCATTGTATATGAGATAGAACAACGAGCAACGTTTATTCGGGGCATTGTATATGAGATAAAATAGCGAGCAACGTTTGATCGGGGAATTGTTTATAAAATAGAACAGCGGGCAACGTTTGATCAGGGCATTGTATATGAGATAGAACAACGAGCAACGTTTGATCGGGGCATTGTGTATGAGATAGAACAACGAGCAACGTTTGTTCGTGGCATTGTGTATGAGATAGATCAGCGAGCAACGTTTGTTCGGGTCATTGTATATGAGATAGAATAGCGAGCAATGTTTGATCGGGGCATTGTATATTAGATAGAACAACGAGCAACGTTTGATTGGGGCATTGTATATGAGATAGAACAACGAGCAATGTTTGATCGGAGCATTGTATATGAGATAGAATAGCGAGCAACGTTTGATGGGGGCATTGTATATGAGATAGAATAGCGAGCAACGTTTGATCGGGGCATTGTATATGAAATAGAACAACGAGCAATGTTTGATCGGGGCATTGTATACGAGAAAGAATAGCGAGCAACGTTTGTTCGGGGCATTGTGTATGAGATAAAACAGCGAGCAACGTTTGTTCGGGGCATTGTATATGAGATAGAAGAGCGAGCAACGTTTGATCGGGGCATTGTATATGAGATAGAGCAGCGAGCAACGTTTGTTCGGGGCATTGTGTATGAGATAGAAGAGCGAGCAACGTTTGTTCGGGGCATTGTGTATGAGATAGAACAGCGAGCAACGTTTGTTAGGGGCATTGTGTATGAGATAGAACAACGTGCAACGTTTGATCAGGGCATTGTGTATGAGATAGAACAGCGAGCAATGTTTGTTCGGGGCATTGTGTATGAAACAGAACAATGAGCAACCTTTGTTCGGCATTGTATATGAGATAAAACAGCGAGCAACGTTTGTTCGGGGCATTGTGTATGAGATAGAACAGCGAGCAACGTTTGATCAGGGCATTGTATATGAGATAGAACAACGAGCAACGTTTGTTCGGGGCATTGTATATGAGATAAAACAGCGAGCAAAGTTTGATCGGGGCATTTTATATGAGATAGAACAACGAGCACCGTTTGATCAGGGCATTGTGTATGAGATAGAACAGCGAGCAACGTTTGTTCGGGGCATTGTGTATGAGATAGAAGAGCGAGCAACGTTTGATCGGGGCATTGTATATGAGATAGAACAGCGAGCAACGTTTGTTCGGGGCATTGTGTATGAGATAGAACAGCGAGCAACGTTTGTTCGGGGCATTGTGTATGAGATAGAACAGCGAGCAACGTTTGTTCGGGGCATTGTGTATGAGATAGAATACCGAGCAACGTTTGATCAAGGCATTGTGTATGAGATAGAACAGCGAGCAATGTTTGTTCAGGGCATTGTGTATGAGACAGAACAATGAGCGACCTTTGTTCGGCATTGTATATGAGATAAAACAGCGAGCAACGTTTGTTCGGGGCATTGTGTATGAGATAGAACAGCGAGCAACGTTTGTTTGGGCATTGTATATGAGATAGAACAACGAGCAACGTTTATTTGGGGCATTGTATATGAGATAAAATAGCGAGCAACGTTTGATCGGGGCATTGTTTATAAAATAGAACAGCGAGCAACGTTTGATCAGGGCATTGTATATGAGATAGAACAACGAGCAACGTTTGATCGGGGCATTGTGTATGAGATAGAACAACGAGCAACGTTTGTTCGGGTCATTGTATATGAGATAGAATAGCGAGCAACGTTTGATCGGGGCATTGTATATTAGATAGAACAACGAGCAACGTTTGATTAGGGCATTGTATATGAGATAGAACAACGAGCAATGTTTGATCGGAGCATTGTATATGAGATAGAATAGCGAGCAACGTTTGATGGGGGCATTGTATATGAGATAGAATAGCGAGCAACGTTTGATCGGGGCATTGTATATGAGATAGAACAACGAGCAATGTTTGATCGGGGCATTGTATATGAGATAGAATAGCGAGCAACGTTTGTTCGGGGCATTGTGTATGAGATAAAACAGCGAGCAACGTTTGTTCGGGGCATTGTGTATGAGATAAAACAGCGAGCAACGTTTGATCGGGGCATTGTATATGAGATAGAACAGCGAGCAACGTTTGATCGGGGCATTGTATATGAGATAGAATAGCGAGCAACAATATTTGAATGTACAATTCCCAGTGTGGATACTTCTGGTGCCCCATTGTGGGGGGGGGGGGGGGGGGATACACAACCTGCTCCTTTACAAGCTTGTAAGAATCGACTAATGAGTGGTGTGGGCTTCCACGTCAGAGTGCATCTTCCCGAGAGGCAAAGGAAACCACAATCTGCACTCAAATGTGCTCTACTGTCTACACCCATGTGTTGTGCTCTCCTGTCTACACCCATGTGATGTGCTCTACTGTCTACACCCATGTGTTGTGCTCTACTGTCTACACCCATGTGATGTGCTCTCCTGTCTACACCCATGTGATGTGCTCTCCTGTCTATACCCATGTGATGTGCTCTCCTGTCTACACCCATGTGATGTGCTCTCCTGTCTAAACCCATGTGATGTGCTCTCCTGTCTACACCCATGTGTTGTGCTCTACTGTCTACACCCATGTGTTGTGCTCTACTGTCTACACCCATGTGTTATGCTCTACTGTCTACACCCATGTGATGTGCTCTCCTGTCTACACCAATGTGATGTGCTCTACTGTCTACACCCATGTGATGTGCTCTCCTGTCTACACCCATGTGTTGTGCTCTCCTGTCTACACCCATGTGTTGTGCTCTACTGTCTACACCCATGTGATGTGCTCTACTGTCTACACCCATGTGTTATGCTCTACTGTCTACACCCATGTGATGTGCTCTACTGTCTACACCCATGTGTTGTGCTCTACTATCTACACCCATGTTATGTGCTCTCCTGTCTACACCCATGTGTTGTGCTCTCCTGTCTACACCCATGTGTTATGCTCTACTGTCTACACCCATGTGATGTGCTCTATTGTCTACACCCATGTGATGTGCTCTCCTGTCTACACCCATGTGTTGTGCTCTCCTGTCTACACCCATGTGTTGTGCTCTCCTGTCTACACCCATGTGTTATGCTCTACTGTTTACACCCATGTGTTGTGCTCTACTGTCTACACCCATGTGTTGTGCTCTACTGTCTACACCCATGTGTTGTGCTCTACTGTCTACACCCATGTTATGTGCTCTACTGTCTACACCCATGTGATGTGCTCTCCTGTCTACACCCATGTGTTGTGCTCTACTGTCTACACCCATGTGTTGTGCTCTACTGTCTACACCCATGTGATGTGCTCTACTGTCTACACCCATGTGTTATGCTCTACTGTCTACACCCTTGTTATGTGCTCTACTGTCTACACCCTTGTTATGTGCTCTACTGTCTACACCCATGTGATGTGCTCTCCTGTCTACACCCATGTGATGTGCTCTACTGTCTACACCCATGTGATGTGCTCTACTGTCTACACCCATGTGTTGTGCTCTACTGTCTACACCCATGTGTTGTGCTCTACTGTCTACACCCATGTGTTGTGCTCTACTGTCTACACCCATGTGTTGTGCTCTACTGTCTACACCCATGTGTTATGCTCTCCTGTCTACACCCATGTTATGTGCTCTACTGTCTACACCCATGTGATGTGCTCTCCTGTCTACACCCATGTGTTGTGCTCTCCTGTCTACACCCATGTGTTGTGCTCTACTGTCTACACCCATGTGTTGTGCTCTACTGTCTACACCCATGTTATGTGCTCTACTGTCTACACCCATGTTATGTGCTCTCCTGTCTACACCCATGTGATGTGCTCTACTGTCTACACCCATGTGTTGTGCTCTACTGTCTACACCCATGTGTTGTGCTCTACTGTCTACACCCATGTGTTATGCTCTACTGTCTACACCCATGTGTTGTGCTCTACTGTTTACACCCATGTGATGTGCTCTACTGTCTACACCCATGTGTTGTGCTCTACTGTCTACACCCATGTGTTGTGCTCTCCTGTCTACACCCATGTGTTGTGCTCTACTGTTTACACCCATGTGATGTGCTCTACTGTCTACACCCATGTGATGTGCTCTACTGTCTACACCCATGTGTTGTGCTCTACTGTCTACACCCATGTGATGTGCTCTCCTGTCTACAGCCATGTGATGTGCTCTCCTGTCTACATCCATGTGTTGTGCTCTACTGTCTACACCCATGTGTTGTGCTCTCCTGTCTACACCCATGTGATGTGCTCTACTGTCTACACCCATGTGATGTGCTCTACTGTCTACACCCATGTGTTGTGCTCTACTGTCTACACCCATGTGTTGTGCTCTACTGTCTACACCCATGTGTTGTGCTCTCCTGTCTACACCCATGTGATGTGCTCTACTGTCTACACCCATGTGATGTGCTCTACTGTCTACACCCATGTGTTGTGCTCTACTGTCTACACCCATGTGTTGTGCTCTACTGTCTACACCCATGTGTTGTGCTCTACTGTCTACACCCATGTGTTGTGCTCTACTGTCTACACCCATGTTTTGTGCTCTACTGTCTACACCCATGTGATGTGCTCTACTGTCTACACCCTTGTGATGTGAAAATAAACGTTTCAAAAAATTTAGCTGGAACATCAGACACGCTTTACTGTCTACAAATATAGACTGCCTACAAAATCTATTGTCTAAACAGATTTACTATCTAAAAAAATATATATATTTTACAAACATGTCCTTCTTAAAAATATTTACTGTCAACGAGGAATAAATACATGTACACTCACAAATCCGCCACTCCAGATAGGCGAAACACTGTGAGCCAGCCAGACATCGGCCCGGATGCTGCTGATGACTCCCACACAGACACTCAACAGTCCCAGGAAGATGTGGAAGCCGGACACGATGAACACCGAGGTCTCTACGGGTTTGAAGGTTGTCCTCGGTTTCGTTGATCTGTGGTTGGCCACCATACTGGGTCTTTGAATGACCTTACTTCCGGTAGATTGCTCGGTTGCCACGAAGGAAGAAAACGGTGTTTTATTTTGTTTCTTAATTTGTGAAAGCTGCACAGTGAAATTACTCCTTATATGGAGTAGTAGGGGACCGATTTTGAAGACAAAACTACAAAAATAATGTCCTTGGTGGTAGCTTAGTTCAACGTCTGTGCGATCTCCTGAACACACAAAAATCAATTGTATCTAGAAGAACTAACAGCGGCCAGGAATCTCTCAATGCCACACCTTTGTTTCCCACAGCGAACACAACAGAAGACGACAGATGTTGGAGCTGTTCTCTGTAGGGATTTTCCTGGGGAAAGAAATAAGATTTTTACAAGAATAAACAACACCCATTGACAACCTGATTACCGGGAGGGATGGTGGGAATTGGAAGCGAGAATGGCCGACTGCTGCAAACAAACACTGGGCCGCAAGTTGTGCAAGTAATAAATGTTGGGGAAATGGGTTGGGTGAATACATGAGTTGTTGTTTGCTGGCACGGGGGAGAAGCAATGAGAACTTAACTGAAATACATCGTAATGCACGGAGACAAGAACAATCACAATATACAAGTATTGGTGAATCTGACAAACAAAAAACAAACAAGGAAAAATAAAGAAGCTGACAATAACAAGATAAAGATATACAATATTCTGACCAGGTGAAACACTTGACATTCCTATACACCTGTTGAACTAGCAAATTCTTCTTCTTCTTCTTCTTCTTATTCTTCTTCTTTTTCTTCTTCTTCTTCTTCTTCTTCTTCTTCTTCTTCTTCTTCCTTCTTCCTTCTTCCTTCTTCCTTCTTCCCTCTTCCTTCTTCCTTCTTCTTCTTCTTCTTCTTCTTCTTCTACTTCTACTTCTTCTTCTTCTTCTTCTTCTTCTTCTTCTTCTTCTTCTTCTTCTTCTTCTTCTTCTTCTTTCTTCTTCTTCTTCTTCTTCTTCTTCTTCTTCTTCTTCTTCTTCTTCTTCTTCTTCTTCTTCTTCTTCTTCTTCTTCTTCTTCTTCTTCTTCTTCTTCTTCTTCTTCCTCCTCCTTCTTCTTCCTCTTTCTTCTTCTTTCTCTTCTTCTTCCTTCTTCTTCTTCTTCCTCCTTCTTCTTCTTCCTCCTTCTTCTTCTTCCTCCTTCTTCTTCTGGATGTTGTATCCATTCCTTCCTTAGCCCTATATTTTGTATCCATTCCTTCTTTTAGCCCTTGATGTTGTATCCATTCTTTCTTTTAGCCCGGCATGTGTGTATCCATTCCTTCCTTAGCCCTGTATTTTGTATCCATTCTTTCCTTAGTCCTAGGTGTATGTATTCATTGATCCCTTAGTCCTAGGTGTGTGAATTCATTGATCCCTTAGCCCTGTGTGTGTGTATTCATTGATCCCTTAGTCCTGGGTGTGTGAATTCATTGATCCCTTAGTCCTGGGTTTGTGAATTCATTGATCCCTTAGCCCGAGGTGTGTGTATTCATTGATCCCTTAGTCCTGGGTGTGTGTATTCATTGATCCCTTTGCCCGAGGTGTGTGTATTCATTGATCCCTTAGCCCTGGGTGTGTGTATTCATTGATCCCTTAGCCCAAGGTGTGTGTATTCATTGATCCCTTAGTCCTAGGTGTGTGTATTCATTGATCCCTTAGTCCTAGGTGTGTGTATTCATTGATCCCTTAGTCCTAGGTGTGTGTATTCATTGATCCCTTAGTCCTAGGTGTGTGTATTCATTGATCCCTTAGTCCAAGGTGTGTGTATTCATTGATCCCTTAGTCCTAGGTGTGTGTATTCATTGATCCCTTAGTCCTAGGTGTGTGTATTCATTGATCCCTTAGTCCTAGGTGTGTGTATTCATTGATCCCTTAGTCCAAGGTGTGTGTATTCATTGATCCCTTAGTCCAAGGTGTGTGTATTCATTAATCCCTTAGTCCAAGGTGTGTGTATTCATTTATCCCTTAGTCCTAGGTGTGTGTATTCATTGATCCCTTAGTCCTGGGTGTGTGTATTCATTGATCCCTTAGTCCTAGGTGTGTGTATTCATTGATCCCTTAGTCCTAGGTGTGTGTATTCATTAACCCCTTAGTCCTAGGTGTGTGTATTCATTAATCCCTTAGTCCAAGGTGTGTGTATTCATTTATCCCTTAGTCCTAGGTGTGTGTATTCATTGATCCCTTAGTCCTGGGTGTGTGTATTCATTGATCCCTTAGTCCTAGGTGTGTGTATTCATTGATCCCTTAGTCCTAGGTGTGTGTATTCATTAACCCCTTAGTCCTAGGTGTGTGTATTCATTAATCCCTTAGTCCTAGGTGTGTGTATTCATTGATCCCTTAGTCCAAGGTGTGTGTATTCATTAATCCCTTAGTCCAAGGTGTGTGTATTCATTGATCCCTTAGTCCTAGGTGTGTGTATTCATTGATCCCTTAGTCCTGGGTGTGTGTATTCATTGATCCCTTAGTCCTGGGTGTGTGTATTCATTGATCCCTTAGCCCAAGGTGTGTGTATTCATTGATCCCTTAGCCCTGGATGTGTGTATTCATTGATCCCTTAGTCCTGGGTGTGTGAATTCATTGATCCCTTAGCCCTGGATGTGTGTATTCATTGATCCCTTAGTCCTGGGTGTGTGAATTCATTGATCCCTTAGCCCAAGGTGTGTGTGTATTCATTGATCCCTTAGCCCTGGATGATGTATGTATTCATTGATCCGTTAGCCCTGGATGTAGAAGACAAGATGCCCTAGCACCCGAGTTCAGTTCCCACATTGACTAGAGGGCATCATATGATTCTACTCCCACAGGCTGAACCCAGGTCACCGCTGCAGTCTGCTAACGCACTAACCACCCAGTCGCCAAGCTTCTTTCAAGTACACACGAAAATGTCGGTTTCTGAGGCGGAACTAGATTTATCATAAATTGTAAGTACACATATTCCGCAATGCGAACCTGAGACAGACACTACTGAAGCGGCAACTTCACTGATGGCACAGTGTCATCGTCAGGAACGCCTAGATCAGGCAGGGCTATTGATTCAGACAGGGATGCTAGCGGCTAGGCTATGATTTATGCCTTCTGGATTCAGCCTGAGAAGGTAGCTGTTAGTTTATAATTTAAGGCACCCAGTTTTGTGACTCTAAGCAATTCGATACCTGGCGGGCTAGCGGGGGACGTTACTGCAGGCAGGGGACGTTACTGCATGCAGGGCATGCAACTGCAGGCAGGTGATGTTACTGCAGGCAGAGAACGTTACTGTACACAGGGGGTGTGACCTCATGTAGGAGGCGATACTGCGTGCACGGGACATTACTGCAGGCAGGGATAGTGTTGCAGGCAACGACGCTACAGCGTGCAGGGTTCGCTAATTCAGAAAGGGGACGCCACCACAAGCATGAACAAGGGAACGCCACCACAAGCATGAACAAGGGAACATTACTGCAAACAGGGGACGCTACCACAGGCAAGGGAGGTTACTAAAGATAGATGACGTCACTGCAGGCAGGGGACGCTACTGCAGGCAAGACCACCAGGGACACGACAGAGAAGCGAGAAGGTGAACCAAGGAATATCACAAACACGTCCGATTCATCTCTTAGTCTGCTGGACGATCATTTGTTGGACTGGCTGACTGACTGACTGGTGGCTGGACGAGACAAGTGACCAGCATCCAGGTTATCTGTACAGTAATACAGCCCTTGTATCAGACTAAGGTTTGGCTACAGTCATTTCCTTGGCTCAGTGCAAGGTACCATCTGCCGTGGAGATGTTACAGACCTGTCCAAAAATCTCCAAAGAATAAAACAACACCCTTTGACAACCTGATTAGCGGGAGGGATGGTGGGAATGGAAGCGAGAATGGCCGACTGCTGCAAACACTGGGCCGCAAGTTGTGCAAGTAATAAATGTTGGGGAAATGGGTTGGGTGAATGAATACATGAGTTGCTGTTTGCTGGCACGGGGGAGAAGCAATAAGAACTTAACTGAAATACATCGTAATGCACGGAGACAAGAACATTCACATATACAAGTATTGGTGAATCTGACAAACAAAAAACAAACAAGGAAAAATAAAGAAGCTGACAATAACAAGATAAAGATATACAATATTCTGACCAGGTGAAACACTTGACATTCCTATACACCTGTTGAACTAGCAAATTCTTCTTCTTCTTCTTCTTCTTCTTCTTCTTCTTCTTCTTCTTCTTCTTCTTCTTCTTCTTCTTCTTCTTCTTCTTCTTCTTCTTCTTCTTCTTCTTCTTCTTCTTCTTCTTCTTCTTCTTCCTTCTTCCTTCTTCCTTCTTCCCTCTTCCTTCTTCCTTCTTCCTTCTTCTTCTTCTTCTTCTTCTTCTTCTTCTTCTTTCTCTTCTTTCTTCTACTTCTACTTCTTCTTCTTCTTCTTTCTTCTGATCTTCCTTCTTCTTCTTCTTCTTCTTCTTCTTCTTCTTCTTCTTCTTCTTCTTCTTCTTCTTCTTTCTTCTTCTTCTTCTTCTCTTCTCTTCTTCTTCTTCTTCTTCTTCTTCTTCTTCTTCTTCTTCTTCTTCTTCTTCTTCTTCTTCTTCTTCTTCTTCTTCTTCTTCTTCTTCTTCTTCTTCTTCTTTCTTTCTTCTTCTCTTCTTCCTTCTTCTTCTTCTTCTTCCTCTTTCTTCTCTCTTCTTCTTCTTCTTCTTCCTCTTCTTCTTCTTCTTCTTCTTCCTCCTTCTTCTTCCACTACTTCTTTCTTCTTCCTCCTTCTCTTCTTCTTCCTCCTTCTTCTTCTTCCTTCTTCTTCTGGATGTTGTATCCATTCCTTCCATGAGCCCTTCTTCCTTCTGATGTGTATCCATTCCTTCTTTTAGCCCGGCTTTTGATCCATTCTTCTTAGCCCCTCCATTCTTTCCTTTCCCTATGTGTATGTATTCCAATTGTATCCATTCCTTAGCCCTGGGGTGTATGTTATTTATTGATCCCTTAGTCCTAGGTGGTTTGTATTCATTGATCCCTTAGTCCTAGGTGTGTGTATTCCATTGA